TTTATTGCCATAAAGTTGTTCATAACAGCCTCTTAATATATTTTCAATATTTACAGAAGCCTTTTTTCTTCATTTTATTTGTGAGACAGGGTCTCACTGTGTCACCTCGGCTGGAGTGCAGTGGCACCATCACAGCTCACTGCAGCTTCCGCCTCCCGGGCTCAGGTGATCTTCCCACCTCAGCCTCCCAAGTAGCTGGAACCACAGACATGCACCACCACTCCTGGCTAATTGTTGGTATTTTTTGTGGAGATGGAGTTTTGCCACGTTGCCCAGGCTGGTTTTAAACTTCTGAGCTTAAGTGACCTGTGCACCCTGGCCTCCCAAAGTGCTGGGAGTATAGGCATGAGCCACCACGCGTCCAATATCTTTGGAATCTTTAGTGCTGTCACTGCCTATTCCTGGTTCTGGTCATTTGTTTTTCTCTTTTTTCCTGCTCTCAGTCTGGCCAGAGGTTGATAGATCTTATTGATTCTCTCAAAGAACCAGCCTTCGGCTTCTTTTTTTTCTTTTTTTTTCTTTGAGATGGAGTCTCGTCCTGTCGCCCAGGCTGGAGTGCAGTAGTGCGATCTCCGCTCACTGCAACCTCTGCCTCCCAGGTTCAAGCGATTCTCCTGCCTCAGCCTCCCGAATAGTTGGGATTACAGAGACCCACCACCACGCCTGGCCAATTTTTGTATTTTTAGTAGAGACAGGGTTTCACCATGTTAACCAGGATGGTCTCGACCTCCTGACCTCGTGATCCGCCCGCCTCAGCCTCTCAGACTGCTGAGATTACAGGCGTGAGCCACCACGCCCAGCCTCCAAGGTCTGACTTTTTATCCATTCTGGTCTCTGCTTTCTCATTAACGTGTTTAAACCTTTTACATCTTACGTGATTTTTAAATTGGATTTAAATCTGCTATCTTGCTATTTATTCTCTATTTGTCCCATGTGCTCTTTGTTCTATTTTTCTTTTTCCTGTCTCTTGCATTTTAAAATTTTGTATCATTTATTTATTTACTTTAGAGGTGAAGTCTCTGTCGTTCAGGCTGGTGCGCAGTGGCACAATCATGTCTCACTTTCTGCCCCTTTGAGAGTCTGATTCCATTTTCTCTCCTTTATCGACTTATTAGCCATCACTCTTTGTTGTTGTATTGCAGTGGTTGTGCTAAGGCTCATAATAAATAGCTTTAACTCGTCCAGTCTCTTCATTCTTTTGTGGAGACCGCGACTTCTATCCAGTCTCACCTTTCTTTTGTCTGAAGGACTTCCTGAACATGTCCTGTAGTGCAAGTCTGCTAGTGATGGATTATTTTGGCTTTTGTAAGTTCAAAAAAGTCTTTATTTTGCCTTTGTTTTTGAAAAATATCTTTGCTGGGTACAGAATTACAGTTATCCCTCAGTAGCCCTGGGGGATGGGTTCCAGTACCCCCCATGGATACCAAAATCCATGAATGTTCAAGCCCCTTATGTAAAATGTCATCGTGTTTCCATATAACCTATGCACATTCTTCCATACACTTTAAATCATCTGTAGGGGTGAGCGTGATGACTCACACCTGTAATCTCCGTAATTTTGGTAGGCTGAGGTGGGAGGATCACTTGAGGCCAGGAGTTCAAGACCAGTCTGGGCAACATAGTAAGATCCCATGTCTACAAAAAATAAAATAAAATAAAAATTAGCAGGGTATGGCTGTGTGTGCCTGTGCTCCCAGCTACTCAGGAGAGTCATGCAGGAGGATTGGTTGAGCTCAGGAGGTCGAGGCTGCAGTGAGCTGTAACTGCACTACTGCGCTTCAATCTGGGAGACAGAGTAAGACCCTGTTTCTAAAATATATACATACAGAGATTACTTATAATACCTGATGCAACGTAGGTGCTAAATAAATACTCGTTATACCATATTGTTTCAGGAACAATGACAGGGAGGAGCAGTCTGCGCTTTTCAGTACAGAAGGAATTTTCTGTTCTGAGGATTTCGACCCTTGGTTGGATTCACAGACACAGAGCTTGTGAATATAGATGCCTGACAGCGTCAGTGAACTTTCCCTTTCCCTCAGCACTTCAAAGCTGTGATTCCACCGTGTTTGGACTCGCATTATTCCTGAAAAAATGTCTGCAATCATTCTTTTTTGTTTTAGAAGGAGTCTTATTCTGTTGCAAGGCTGGAGTGCAGTGGCGTGATCTTGGCTCATGGCAACCTCCACCTCCCAGGTTCAAGCGATTCTCGTGCCTCAGCCTCCCGAGTTAGCTGGGATTACAGGCATGTGCCACCACGCCCAGCTAATTTTTTTTTTATTTTTAGTAGAGACGTGGTTTCACCATGTTTGTCAGGATGGTCTCCGTCTCCTGACCTCATGATCCACTGGCCTCAGCCTCCCAAAGTGCTGGGATTACAGGCGTGAGTCACTGCGCCCGGCCTGCAATCATTCTCATCTTTGTTCCTTTGTACACAATGTCTCGTGTGTGTGTGTGTGTGTGTGTGTGTGTGTGTGTGTGTGTGTAGCTGCTTTTAAGGTTTTTCACTGATTTAAAGCAATTTGAGGCCAGACACGGTGGCTTATGCCTGTAATCCCAGCATTTGGGAGACCAAGGTGGGCAGATCACCTGAAGTCAGGAGTTTGAGACCAGTCTGACCAACATGGCAAAATCCCGTCTCTACTAAAAATACAAAAAATTGTCCAGGCATGGTGGCACATGCCTGTAATCCCAGCTGCGTGGGAGGCTGAGGCAGAAGAATCACCTGAACCCAGGAGGCAGAGGTTGTGCTGAGTTGAGATCATGCCATTGCACTCCAGCCCGGGAGACAGAGCAAGACTCCATCTCAAAAAATAAATAAATAAATAAATAAAGCAATTTGCTTTCCGTCTTGGTGTAGTTCCTTCGTGTTTCTTGTGTTTGAGATATGTTAAACTTCTTGGGTCTGTAGGTTTGTAGTTTTAAAAAACTTTTCAATCATTACTTTTTTTGTTGTTTTGTTTGTTTGTTTTTTTGTTTTGAGATGGAGTCTCGCTCTGTCGCCCAGGTTGGAGTGCAGTGGCGCGATCTTGAGTCACTGCAACCTCCGCCTCCTGGGTTCAAGCGATTCTGCTGCCTCAGCCTCCTGAGTAGCTGGGATTACAGGCGCACACCACGACGCCCAGCTAATTTTTGTATTTTTAGTAGAGACGGGGTTTCTCCATGTTGGTCAGGCTCGTCTCAAACTCCTGACCTCAAGGGATCTGCCCGCCTCGGCCTCCCAAAGTGCTGGGATTACAGGCGTGAGCCACCTCACCTGGCAATCATTACTTCTTAAAATGTCTTTCTCCACATCCTTCCACCCCCAGGGGACTTCAAATCACACTGCTTGAAACGGCCCCATAGCTCACTGATGCTCTGCTCACTCTCTTAGCCTTCCCTCTCTTTTACTTTAGACGACTTCTGTTGCCATGTCCCTGAGAGTTTTAAGTCCATGCTTTCCTCCTTGATATTGTTTTCTGAAACCTGATGTTTTGCCCAAAACTGATATATTATTTTCACGTATACATGTGTGAGTTTAGCTTTGCATGGTTGAACTTTCATAGCCCATCGCTGAATCATTGTAATATATTGACCTGTGTCTAAACTGTGATGAAATGAGCGAAAGATTAAGACCTGGCTTAGAAGACAGAGGCCGAGACGGGCGGATCACGAGGTCAGGAGATCGAGACCATCCTGGCGAACACGGTGAAACCCCGTCTCTACTAAAAAATACAAAAAAACTAGCCAGGCGAGGTGGCGGGCGCCTGTAGTCCCAGCTACTCCGGAGGCTGAGGCAGGAGAATGGCGTAAACCCGGGAGGCGGAGCTTGCAGTGAGCTGAGATCCGGCCACTGCACTCCAGCCTGGGCGACAGAGCCAGACTCCATCTCAAAAAAAAAAAAAAAAAAAAAAGAAGACGATGTGCAAGTCACAGGCCTTTAAGTGTCCTAATGTCTAGACAGAGAACAGACAACTAACTACTGTGTGAGATGGGAATGTGGGTGAGAGGTTAAGTACAGGAATTATTTCAAGATTGCAAAAATAAATCTCTTAAAGACCACATATTGCATGGTTCCATTAACAGGGAAGGCCCAGCCTAGGCAAACTCCTGGACACAGGAAGGAGATTAGTGGCTGCAGGTGGGGGAGGGGCAGTGTGCTGACTGCTACAGGGGACCCGTGGTGACAGGGGCAGTGGAGGTGGGCCCAGCGCTGGGAATGCACCACTATCGTCGCGCTGTGCTTTTTTTTTTTTTGAGATGGAGTCTCGCTCTGTCGCCCAGGTTGGAGTGCAGTGGCGCGATCTTGAGTCACTGCAACCTCCGCCTCCTGGGTTCAAGCGATTCTGCTGCCTCAGCCTCCTGAGTAGCTGGGATTACAGGCGCACACCACGACGCCCAGCTAATTTTTGTATTTTTAGTAGAGACAGGGTTTCACCATGTTGGCCAGGCTGGTCTCGATCTCCTGACCTCCTGATCCACCCGCCTCAGCCTCCCAAAGTACTGGGATTACAGGTATGAGCCAGGGCGCCCGGCCATGCGCTGCGCATTTTACGCGGATAAAGCGGATGGCCTGGGCACTGCGGGTCCAGGTAGCTGTTTTGACAACGTCTTCATTCCTGCGGCCGTAATGGGGCGCAGGTGCACACACGGATGTGGCTTCTCTCCAGGGTGTCACCGCGTAGGTACCACGCTGACTCCAGCGCAGCTGCCCTCGCCGGGCCTCAGCGGGGCGTGGCCGGGCAGCAGGGGCGTGGCTGGGAACTGGGGGCGTGGCTGGGCCGTGGGGGCGGGCCCTTCGTGCAAGCAGCCGCCGACGTGGGGCGGGGGCGGGGCCGGGCGTGCGGGCGGTTGGGCGAGGGCGGGGCCGGCGGCGGCGGGTAACGGAGGGGGCGGGGCTAGCGCAGGGGTGGGGTTGCCGTTGCGGGGCGGGGCGGCGCAGGCGCACTGCGAGGCACTCAGCGGTTTTCCCTCCCCCAACGGCGCGCCAGCTGTGGCCGGCGCAGCGTAGTGCTCGGGCCGGGGGTCGCCTCCCGCCTCCCGCCTCCCGCCTCCCGCCTCCCGCCGCCCGCGTCGCCCTCGCCGCCGTTGGGCCGCGCCGCGCCGCCATGTCGGGCCCCGGGCCGCGGGAGCCGCCGCCGCCGGAGGCAGGCGCGGCAGGCGGCGAGGCGGGCGTCGAGGGCGCGGGCGGCGGGGACGCGGCGCTGGGCGAGCAGGGACTGAGCTTCACGACCACCGACCTGAGCCTGGTGGAGATGACGGAGGTGGAGTACACGCAGCTGCAGCACATCCTCTACTCGCACATGGAGGCGGCGGCTGACGGCGAGCTCGAGACGCGCCTCAACTCGGCGCTGCTGGCGGCGGCGGGCCCGGGCGCGGGCGCGGGCGGCTTCGCGGCGGGCGGTCTTGGGGGCGCGGCGCCCGTGTACCCCGTGCTGTGCCCGTCCGCGCTGGCGGCCGACGCGCCCTGCCTGGGCCACATCGATTTCCAGGAGCTGCGCATGATGCTGCTGAGCGAGGCGGGCGCGGCGGAGAAGACGCCGGGCGGCGGGGATGGGGCGAGGGCCCGGGCCGACGGCGCCGCCAAGGAGGGCGCGGGCGCGGCTGCGGCTGGACCCGAGGGCGCGCCCGAGGCCCGGGCCAAGCCGGCCGTGCGCGTCCGCCTGGAGGACCGCTTCAACAGCATCCCCGCCGAGCCGCCGCCCGCGCCGCGCGGCCCCGAGCCCCCCGAGCCGGGCGTGGCGCTCAACAAGTGCGTGCCCGGCGGCCGGAGGCTGGCAGGGCCCGGGTGGAGGCCAGGGCCGGGGCGGAGGCAAAGGGGGCCCTCGCTGTGCACGCCCCCAGCCTGCCCTCCCGGCGGCACAGGGCGCGGACCCCACCGGGTGCGGGGCCTCCCCGAAAGGCTGTGTGCGCTGTGCGGGCCCCGGGGAGCAGGTACTTCCTGGAACTAAACACCGCCCCCCCAGTGGCCCCGTTTGGAGAGTGGGACCGAGCGCGCAGAATTCCTGGGAACCATGTGCTCCGGGAGGCACTCTTAGATGTCAGGGAAGCCTGGGAAGGCCCGACGCGGGTTTGCAGGCTTTGAGCTCTAAAATGAGGCTCCAGCCTGCAGCCGCCCCCTTGGTGACCCTCAGGAATGGCTGTGGAAGGGGCTGAGTCCGCAGTTTTTTGCTCATCCCAACCTGTAGTTGCCCATCATGGTCAGACTGGAGGATGGCAGAAGTAAGATTGGTGTCAGGATGTGACGAGAGCAGGGAGGTGGCGCAGATTTGGGACTTCCCCAACAGCGCGAGTTGGTAACTGTTGTGTAGAGATTTCCAGGATGAGAGTTGAGTTGCTGTCTGGAAAAAGTGGCCAGAGCCGTGGGAGTGGGATGGTGGATGCTTGTCTGCCACGTATTCCTGACACTTCTGGGCTTTCTTTTGTCTTGGCAGTTTGGTAACTCTCATTCGACATCCATCTGAATTAATGAATGTTCCTCTTCATCAACAACAAAACAAATGTACAACATTAGTGAAAAATAAAACTGCTGCTACAACTACTGCTTTGCAGTTTACATACCCACTGTTTACTACAAATGCTTGCTCTACTAGTGGAAATTCTAATCTTTCACAGACACAGGTAGGGAACATGATTTGTGAAGCTTTGCTCTTTTGGATTAAATGGGTAAATTTTAACTTATTTTGGTTGGGTCCCAAGTACTTTTTTTTCCCTTGAGTGAGCTTAATAACCTTTTAAGCGGGGCGCCGAGGCTCACACCTGTAATCCCAGCACTTTGGGAGGCCGAGGTGAGTGGGTCATTTGAGGTCAGGAGTTCAAGAACAGCCTGGCCAGCATGGTGAAACCCCGTGTGAAAATTAACTGGGGGGTAGTGGCAGACACCTGTAATCCCAGCTACTCAGGAGGCTGAGGCAGGAGAATCGCTTGAGCCTGGTGCACTCCAGTCTGGGCGACAGAGTGAGACCCTGTCTCAAAAAAAACCAAAAAAACCAAAAAACACCTGTGCAAGTTGAGTATTTATGTGGTATGGGAATGTTTTAAAATCTTCAGTGCAACTAAAGTTCTCCAAATTGTGTATTAGTAGCTTTGATGTTTGTTAAGTGCATTTTATTTGTGCAGTAAAAAGGACATTAAGTCACATATTGATAAAATTCCTGTTGGTTCATTTTTTTCCAGAGTTCTAGTAACTCATGTTCTGTCCTTGAAGCTGCCAAGCACCAGGATATTGGATTGCCTAGAGCATTTTCTTTCTGTTATCAGCAAGAAATTGAATCCACTAAACAGACATTAGGTAGTAGAAACAAAGCTTTGCCTGAGCAAGTTTGGATTAAAGTGGGAGGTAAGCGATGAAGCAGCAGGTAGTGGGAGCTTTCTTGTGACCGAGCCCTGTGGCTGATGGTATTTTGGCCTTGGGGAGGGGGGTAGGGGAGACAGATGGTTTGTACACATGGGAAACAGTCTTGGAGGTGTCCATGTATCTCCGGATCCGTCCACCCACTTCCCCGTCTTCTCACTTTAAACATTATTCTGATTCACAAATATAATTAACCTTGATGTGGGAACATTGAGTTTGAGGGCTTTTTCATAACATTAAAGTGATAGACTTACATAAATTTTCCGTTATCTTCAAGTTACTGAAAGTACTTTGTAGTTTTTTATTTTCCTTATTTTGTACTCCATGAGTGAGGCAGGCATCTAACATCTGCTGAAAGCCTTTGGATAGGTGGATGCTAATAGGAGGACCCTGGGCTGCCAGCGAGAGGCCGTAAGGTGATTCAGAAAGTTTGGAAATAAAGTCACTGCTGAAGGCACTGCTGTGCTCACCTGCCTAGCCCCTTCCTCCCTGGGAAACACCTGCATAGTCCCTTCCTCCCTGGGAAACTGATTTGTCATGTGACCCGATGAAAAGAACACTCCTTACACTCAGCTTTCCAAGAGTTGGTGAAGACAGGACGGGGATGGAGAGCTACTGCCTTCTCCTGTGTCAGTCACTCCTTTTCCTCCCTGCAAAATTTTATGCCAAAGTGTATGTTCACATTTGTAAGATACAAAGATGAGTATTAAAGTAGCCTCTGTGCTGACTACTCAGGTTGAGGAATAAAATGTCACCAAAACAACTGAATTCCTCTCTCCTGCTGAAAGCTTCGTCATCCTTCTGTAATATGTGCTCTGTGTGGTATACATGGGCACATGAGCACGCCTGCCAGTCACGTGCCTGCGGCTCTTTGATGGATACAGTTCCACATATGCACACGTGGCACAGCCTGTTATGCAGCAGAAGAGCTCGGACGCTACTTCTTACATAATGCTTTGGGGAGGAGAGCCACTTCTGAGGCGAGGGCATGCACTTAATGCTGCTTCAGTTTTGTTCTGAGCATTGCAGTAAAAATACTGTCATATTAAAATAATTGGGTTTTTTTCTTGTTCTTAGAATAATTGTATATAAAGAAAATATTTTTGGGAGGAAATATGTCCAAGTGTTTTTTTTTTTTTTTTCCCATTCTGACCTTGAGAAAAAGTAAACAACTTCTTGTTTTCTGTATTCATAGGTAACACCTGTTGATTAAAGAGAGTGACTTTGGGCCGGGCATGGTGGCTCAAGCCTGTAATCCCAGTACTTTGGGAGGCCGAGGCGGGTGGATTACAAGATCAGGAGCTCGAGACCATCCTGCCTAACACAGTGAAACCCCGTCCCTGCTAAAAATACAAAAAAATTAGCCGGGCGTGGTGGCGCATGCCTGTAGTCCCAGTTACTTGGGAAGCTGAGGCAGGAGAATGGTGTGAACCCGGAAGGTGGAGCTTGCAGTGAGTGGAGACCACGCCACTGCACTCCAGCCTGGGCAACAGAGCGAGACTCCATCTCAAAATAAAAAAAAAAGAGGGACTTTGGATGAGGTCATATTGGTTGCATAGCACTTGGAAGACGTATTTAATTTGATGATTGATTCTTGTTCAGTTTCATTGTTTTTGTTTTTGTTTTTTTTTTGAGACAGAGTCTCGCTCTGTTGCCCAGGCTGGAGTGCAGTGGCCGGATCTCAGCTCACTGCAAGCTCCCGGGTTCATGCCATTCTCCTGCCTCAGCCTCCCGAGTATCTGGGACTAAAGGCACCTACCACCATGCCCAGCTAATTTTTTTTTTTTTTGTATTTTAGTAGAGATGGGGTTTCACCATGTTAGCCAGGATGGTCTTGATCTCCTGACCTCGTGATCCACCCGTCTCAGCCTCCCAAAGTGCTGGGATTACAGACATGAGCCACCGCGCCTGGCTGTTCAGTTTCATTATATAAAATAGGCTTGGACTTCTGTTCCCTGCTGACACGAAGTAACTGCATTAGTACATCTCTTTGTGGTTCGGTTCTTTGTGCTGCTTACCCAATAATGTTTATATCTTGGATTGAAAAGGCCAAAACTGTGTTCAGCATTAATTGAGATAAGAATAAAAAATTAAAAACCACTTTTTTCTTCTTTTGCAAAGAAGAAGCGCTATGCAAACAAGCACTGAAGAGGAATCGGAGTAGAATGCGTCAGTTGGACACAAATGTAGAGCGAAGAGCCCTTGGAGAGATTCAGAATGTGGGCGAAGGTGCCACTGCCACACAGGGCGCTTGGCAGTCCTCGGAGTCCTCACAGTCAAACCTGGGGGAGCAGGCCCAGAGTGGGCCCCAGGGAGGAAGGTCTCAGCGTAGGGAGAGGCATAACCGAATGGAAAGAGATAGAAGGTAATACGTGTGACTGCTTGTCAAGCTGGCTCATAAATGATTACCTTAGTCATACTACATGGTTATCACAGATAAAATGATCCTTAGGCATTTCTGCGTTCAGAGGGAAGAAAGGAGGTAGGAGCATCGTTAACTTTCCCAGATGGATCAGGGATCCCCCAGACTGCGCCCAGGCTCGCTGGCTCATTAGGAGGACTCCCGGGACTCAGCATGTAGTCACTCTCAGGCTGTGACTTACTATGGAGAAAGGATGCCAGGTGAGGTCAGCAAAGGTGCATGGGAAGAAGGCAGGAGATGAGGTGCAAGCTTCTAAGAGCGTGCCCTGTGGAGTCAGGCAGGATGCCCCTCATGTCCCAGTCATGTGGTCTGAAAACGTGGGTGAGGTGTTGCCAACCAGGAAAGCTTGCTAGAGACCAGGGGCGCGTCACGTAGGCACGCCCTCCCTGCATGCAGCCGCAGTCCAGTCTCCCAGAAGGAAAACAGGTGATCAGTGTCAACCATATTGTTTGCACAGTGTAGGTCCTGGGAGCCACTCTTAACTCTACAAATCTAGGTTCGCAGACTCCACTAAGGGCCAGCGCTGACTGCAGGCCTTTCTGAGGAGAGTGATCAGAAAGCAGTGTTATGGTAACTGCTGCTTAACCAGCCAACTGAATTCTGCAAGTTTTCCTGGTTCTTTTAAGATTGCTGGGAAGAAGGAGGTTAAAATTGTTATTTAAGTGGTTTTGTCTGTAGATTTTATTTGTGGTATCCTTCTTTGTAGAATTAAGAGGTGGTTAGTTTTTTCTATTATAATTGGATTTTCTTTTCTTTTTTTTTTTTTTGGTGAGATGGAGATTTACTCTTGTTGCCCAGGCTGGAGTACAATGGCACAATCTCGGCTCACTGCAACCTCCACCTCCCAGGTTCAAGTGATTCTCCTGCCTCAGCCTCCCTAGTAGCTGGGATTACAGGCATGCGCCACCACGCCCGGCTAATTTTGAATTTTTAGTAGAGACAGAGTTTCTCCATGTTGGTCAGGTTGGTCTCGAACTCCTGACCTCAGATGATCCGCCCGCCTCGGCCTCCCAAAGTGCTGGGATTACAGGAGTGAGCCCCCACGCCCAGCATGGCAATTTCTTTTAAAGGGATCTATTCAAACTAGCTAGGGCAGGGTGCAGTGGCTTATGGCTGTAATCTCAGTACTTTGGGAGACTGTGGTGGGAGGATTGCTTGAGCCCAGGGTTTGAAACCAGCTTGGGCAACATAGCAAGTCCCTGTCTCTAAAGAAAAACCAGCAATACTAGTGGTGGTGCACACCTGTCGTCCCAGCTACTTGGGAGGCTGAGGTGTGGGAGGATCGCTTGAGCCCAGGAGTCAATGCTATAGTCAGCTGTGATCCTGCCACTGCACTCCAGCCTGGGCCACAAAGTGAGACGCATGTCCCAAAGAAAGAAAATAAAAAAGCTAGCTGTATATCTTTTTATGATACTTACATACACGTAGACTAACTGAGGGCCTTCCTCAGCCTACTGTGAATTATGAAGGGCGTTTTGCTTGCTCTGACATTTATTTAATAGACATTCATTGAGTAGCTGCTATGTAGAAAGCCTTACACCGTATGTTGACAGTTTGGAAATTTGACTCTAGCTCTACTGCATAGACTTGTGGTTAGAGTCGAATGAGCTGATGCGTAAAGAGTGTTTGGCTCAATGCCTAGAAGTCCAAAAGCACCTAGTAAATGCCAGCTGCTGTTTTACCAGCAGAGTCTCTAATTAAAATTCTAAATACACGGTGTGAAGACGAGTAACAAAGGCCATATTGAATAAGTTGCTGAGTATCTGCTTGTTTAGGACTTTGCATGGTACTGAATGTAATATGTAAAAGTTTAAAAAATAGTCTAATAACAAGACTCCAATTGTTTATCTCTACAAAGACTGAGTTTCAGAATATTAACAGAGTGTTGGGCCGTGATCCTTTCAGAATCAGGGCCCCTTGGAGAATCTGAAAGCTGTGCATGAATTCCTGGTAGGGTTTTTAGCCCGTAAAGGGCAAGTAATATCAGTCTTGAATGAAAGAGGAATCTGCCCAATTTGGACCCCTCAGTGGTCCAGACGGAAGAAGGTGTCAGACAAAAAATGTTGCTTCCAATTTCAGGGGCTTTGGAACCATCCCTAATCCAGAGACTTGAACCTGGCCCATGAGAAGTAAATAAGGAAAGCTCCAGGGAGCGTGTGGGTCATGGGGCTGCCGAGGGCACCCAAGGATGCTCTGGCCTCCCAAGGGCAGTAGCTGGCTCTGTAGACGAGGCCGTGGCAAAGCTGTGGGACTTCCTGTGGTGATGGGCATTTCCGTGGCACTCAGTGGCCAGGCTTCACGGGCTCTGATTCCCTCAAGTACTACAGCGAGATGCTTCCTTTTACGTGTTTGTTTTGCTCCGGCCTCTCTCGGTGATGACTTTGGGTTTTGACTGTAGGCGCAGAATCCGCATTTGCTGTGATGAGTTGAATCTCTTAGTACCGTTCTGCAATGCCGAGACTGACAAGGCCACAACTCTGCAGTGGACCACAGCATTCCTGAAATATATCCAGGAAAGACACGGAGATTCTCTTAAAAAGGTTAGTGGTAGGCCAGGTAGATTTCCAGAATTTTATAAATTTTTCTTATCAGTGTCCCTCTTTTGTCCTAAGGATAACTCAGACTGTCCTTTGCTTCCTGGAATCTAACGTCAGATACTAAGTCCATTATGAACAAAGCTCTGCTCATTA